TGAGCAACTACTACCTGGACATCCGCAGCGCCTTCCAGAGGCACGCACTGCCAGAGCTGCTGACGGCCGGTGGCGTGCTGGTGTACGACCTGCTGCCCGAGCTGGACAGCCTCCTCTCCAGCCACAGCCTCTTCCTGCTCGGCCGCTGGCTGGAGGGTGCCCGTGCCATGGCCACCAGCGACCGGGAGGCAGAGCAGTACGAGCTGAACGCCCGGAACCAGGTGACACTCTGGGGGCCCAGTGGGAACATCCTGGACTATGCCAACAAGCAGCTGGGGGGGCTGGTGCTGGACTACTATGGAGTGCGCTGGAGCCTCTTCGTCTCTGTGCTGGTGGAAAGCCTCAACTCGGGCCGCCCCTTCCACCAGGACGAGTTCAACCAGGCTGTCTTCCAAGTGGAGAGAGGCTTCGTCTACAACAAGAAGCGCTACCCGGCCGTGCCAGCTGGGGACACACTGGAGATCTCCAGGAAGCTGTTCCTCAAATACTACCCCAGTGCCCTGTGGCGCAGCCGGGCTGGGCTGGCATGACTTTGGACTGTGCCTCCGGAGCCTCCCCCAGGAAGGGAGAGGAAGGGAGGGCAGAGCCCTCATGCCCTCCTGGTCAAGGCTCCTGCAACTCCTGACCTGATGGCTGCGTCCTGGCTGTACTGGAAGGGGGGCACAGAGCCCTGGTGTCACCCAGCCAGCCTGGACCCCTTGTTTCTCCTGTGTAGGCAGGATGTGCCCTGAGGGGGGCTAGCAGATGGATGAGGGGCAGGCTGTGCCCCAGGGACACATCCTGCACTGTGCTCTGTGCCCAGCCCTGCCTGTCTGCCCTGAGCCTATCCCCTGGAAAGCTGGGCTGCCCCAGTGCTCCCAGTTGGAAGCTTGCGGGGATTCTGCAGAGGGTCAGGACAGAGGTGTCCCTGCTGTGGGGCCCTGGCTGGCTTGCAGGGGCAGTGATGGTGGAGAAGCAGACAGGGAGGTGGCAGTGGTGTGGGGGCAGAGCAGCCCTGGACCCCAGTGCCTGCGAGGACCCAGTACTGCATGGCCCTGCCCATGTTTGGTGCCTTCTGTATCATAAAAGACTTAGTGGCATTTCCTGCAGCATTGCTGGGGCCGTGCTCCATCAGGATGTGGGTTTTGAGGCCTTTTCTCCAGCTGGAGCTCAGGTAGAGCCCAGCTGTGGAGCAAATAAAGACTTTTTTTCTCCTATGCGTGTCCAACTCGTCTCCCCAGTGCAGGACTGTGTGGAACACAAGGGGTAGAGGAGCAGCTTGGCTCTAAGCCCACATAGCAGGAACAATGCACTGCCAGGCAAGTCCTGGGAGCTGGAGCGCCTGGCACAGCACAGCGTGACTGGTGACTGGTGTGGATTCCCCGAGGCTGCGGCTCCCCTTGTGCCCCAGAGCCTCCCCCTGCGGGTCGTTATCGCAGCACCTGCGAGAGCATCAAGGCGCAGGGAGCCCCAGGCACGCGCAGGGAGGTCTGTGGAGGGGCCTTGAGATAAGGCAGCAGACACAACAATGTGGTGTGGGCTGGAGGGACCCCCCTCCCAGCCCTTTTAAGCAGCAGGGCCCCCTCGGCCAGCACCGCTTGCCATGGAGAGAACCACGGTGCTGATCACGGGCTGCTCCTCGGGCATTGGGCTGGGACTGGCCGCACGCCTGGCGGCCGACAGCGCTCGCCGCTTCAAAGGTAAAGGGACAATGCTGCCCTGGGGGGTCCAGCACCCCTGGGGGTCTCCGGGCTGGGCCAGGCAACACCTCAACAAGGACAGACAGTGCCTGGGGGTGGGCTGGGGTCAGCCCTGTGAGGGGTGGGCTCTGTGGCCTCGCTGCCCACGGCCACGCTCTCTCCTCAGTTTATGCCACCATGCGTGACCTGGCCAAGGGTGAGCGGCTGCTGGAGCACTTGGGCAGCCACTGCCCTGACACGCTGGAGGTCCTACAGCTCGATGTCACCGACCCACACTCACTGGCAGCCGCCGTGCAGCGGGTGCAGGAGCAGCACCTGGACGTGCTGGGTATGACTCTTCCCGTTACCCCCGCTGTCCCTTGGGTGGCTGGGGGGACATCTCCAGGGTCACAAGCCTCCCAGAATATAGATGCCAGTATCCTGGGGCTGGGATAGGACATGTTCAGTGGGGCAGGCGTGCAGGAGATGGGCTTGGGGGTGCCAAGGGCTCATCAGCACGGAAAGGCCCCCCCATTCCTGCCTTCTAGCACTCGGTGGTGTGTGGGGGCTGCAGTGCCTGGCTGACTGCACCTTGCCCAGCAGTCTGCAACGCGGGGGTGGGACTGATGGGACCTCTGGAGACCTGCTCCGATCAGGCCATGAAAACCCTCTTCGATGTGAACTTCTTTGGGGCCGTCCGCACCATCCAGGCATTCCTGCCTGCCATGAAGCGTCGCAGGGCCGGGCGGATCATTGTTTCCAGCAGCATCGGCGGGCTGCAAGGTGGGACACCCGGCACCCTGGGGCGTGGGGAGCCGCGGGGAAGAGCCCCGGTGCTCAGGGTGCGGCTCTACCCCAGGGCTACCCTTCAATGCCGTGTACTGCGCCAGCAAGTTTGCGGTGGAGGGGCTGTGCGAGAGCCTGGCCATCGTCCTGCGCCCCTTCAACATCCAGTGAGTGCCGGCGGTGCCGCGGGGGCTGGATCCTGCAGACCGCCCACCGGGACGGGGAGATGCCAGGGCGGGGATACGGTGTCATCTCACGCGCTCCTTCCCGCAGCGTGACACTGGTGGAGTGCGGGCCCGTCCACACCAGCTTCCTGGCCAACCTACAGTGCCCGGACCCCGAGGGCAGCGAGCTGGAGGGCCTGGACGCCGAGACGCGGGGGCTGTACCGCCGATACCTGCGGCACTGCCAAAGCCTCTTCCGCGACACGGCCCAGGAGGTGGAAGACGTCCTGCCGGTCA